GTGGCATATCCAAGAGCGACAGCCGAGTGCGGTAAGATGGGGCAATGAGGCAGTGAGGCGGGCTGGGATGGGACAGAAACAAAGGCAACAAAAATTACTGCAGTAAATGGCGCCTTGTGTTTGTGCTTTGGCTGGAAATCCTTTTATGCTATCAACGCTTACGTAGCCAGCAATTATTTGCTGCTTTCGGTGGCTCTGCTCAGTGCTTGCGTAAATTAAAGCACAGCTAAAGCCCTGCGGCAAGGGGGGCGGCAGCTAAGCGCAGTACCCGCTGGCAACACCCTTGGCTACGGTTCACAAAGAGCTCGTAACATACGTTAAAACAAACGTTTTGCGTATTCCCACGATTTCCGACTTACTGTTTGTGTGTGTGTGTGTGTGTGGGTGTGGGTGTTGTGCGAATAACATCCACTTCCTGCTTTGTCTAATGTCTTTATATACGTCTGCCATATATTTTGCGGCACTCAAGCCGAAAAGGACTCGACGGGGTCGGGGTCCGTAGTCCGCCCCAGCCTAACCGCAGGGCCGTAAAATTAAACTAGTGCATAATTAAACACTCGCAATTAGGCGTAATTTACTTGGTGTGTGGGTGTGTCTGTGTGTGTGTGTGTGAGTTCGCCGCGACGCCTTTCGTTGTTGTCTTGCCTCATATTTTCGCAACATTAGTTTTTAATTAAAAAATTTCCATCACATGCGCAAGTCTGTACAAAGTTCCCTTCTGCTCCCTCACCAGCCATCGTTTGCCACATGCCCCACAGCAGCTATTTGGTGTGATTGCTTTAATGGGCTTGTGCGTTCAATTTACTACGCAATGGGGCAAACAAGACTCGCCCACTTTACAACCTGATCACAATCTGGCCTAAGCTCCGGCCAACTTTGTGCGCCCAAAGCCCTAGTCGGGCAGCGGGAGTGGCAGAGGATGGCTTAGGGAGCGTCTTAAGATAAGATACTTAAGCATAAACAAAAAGCTAAGCAACAACTGAAATGCATTGTAAACATTGCCAAGTTGTAATAATTAATCCGTAAGATTTACAAAACACAACTTGCGCATAAATTGCAAGTCCCGGACGGAGGCGAAAGCAGACGCGGTTTCATTACTCAAAACTTGTGCGCGACTCGCGGGGGGCGTGGCGAGGGCCGAGGGATTGAGGATTGAGGAATAGAAGTTTGCTTTCTCTTTGCCCAACGGGCCATTGTTGCTGCAGGCCAGTCATTTTCTATCTTTTTCCTTCGCCTCCGCTGCTACTGCTCCTGCTGCTCCTGCTGATGCTGCTGCCAAGTTGCATGCCACAAGAGCAAACAGCGAGTGGCGTCTGTGCCGCGATAAGACGTCAAATCCTTGCAGCTCGCTGCGAAACCACATCTAATTGTACTTAGTATGCGGCACTGACTCACTGACTGACTGACTGATTGACTCTCTGTCTGACTGACTGACTGACTGACCGACAATGATTCCATTTACATTTTGCACTGGCTGCAAATTGAAAGAGTTGCTGTTGTTATAGCTGTGCAGGCGTTTTGGCACATTCCAAGTCAAATATTTATGTGGCTGGCAAGGATTTGCGCAATCCCTTGCCAAGGCACCGCAGTCAATGTGCTGTCTCAGCAGCGGCTCGGCTCGCCCCGGCCCAAACGCAAAGCAATTGCAAGTAAATTAATTAATTAAAATATTCAAGATGAGCATAGAGCAATGCCCAGGCCCTGTGGACGTCCAAGATCTCGAGGTGGCCGATGCGGATTTAAGCCGCTTTAAGGCAGCGATTGGAGCAGCTGGCAGAGACAAGACGCAGCAGCGAAAGGCCACGAATTGTTTTGCATTTGAATTTGTGTTCGAGCCTAATTGAAGGCTGACAACTTAATTATGGGACTAATTATGCGACGGCTAATTGAAAGTAATGAACGCGGGCTTGCGAGGCAGAGATAGGGACTTGTTAATGAAAACGCCGACTTATAGAGAATGGCATAAATTAACTGAGGTAGACGTTAACTTGCCTAGAGATGGCTCTCAAGTCGAGCGAAAACAATGATTATATTAGCTGATGATATTTATTGCAAATATTTGCTATTCGAGTTGTCTATATACCATAAGGTCACAAGTAATGTCAAAGAAGGGCAACTATATATATATATGTGTGACACTTGAATCGAAAGTTGAATGGCTTTGCCAGCTTTATGTGAGCTTAAATTATCAGGTCGAAACTCAACTAATTATAACTTCGTATAACTGTCAAACCCAGATCAAGTTACGAGCTGGCAATTAAGTATTTCAGCTCAGCATTAAACAGCAAGCACCGAACAAGAGAGAGAGAGAGGGAGAGAGATAGAGAGAGGCGAGCTTGTGCCATAAATTGTCACGCCCACAACAAATGGGCGTGCAAGTAATTTAACAGTTTTGATTAATGGCAACTACTTTGCAAATATATTAGGTTTTAGTTACCTGCAAGCCAAGACAGAGATACAAAGGGGGAGCGAGAGAGGGAGAAAGCGAGAGAGCGACAGTGAAAGAGCATTCGAAAAGCCATTTCTAAATTACATAACCGAAAAGCATTAAAAGCTAATCCCGTTTGAGCCAGCAGCCGGCAGCCGAACACGTTCCATTCCAAGCGATTTCCATCTGGATTTGGGCCATGGGATTGGGCTTCGGCTTCGGCTTGGGCCGGGGCCTCCTGTTGGAGTTTTTGCCTGTGGCATCAACTGGAAATCCATGGCACAAATCCACGTCACTCGCTGCCCGGCCAATATTTTTCCATTTTCGTACACAACGGCACCGCGTTGCATATTTATGTGATTTATTATGGGAAGAACTGCCCGGCCGCCCACCACACACAGCCCGCCCATGCCCCGTGACCCCTAAGCCCCATGCCAACTGCCCCCTGCCGAGCCAGAGCTCTGGCCTACAGCGACATTTTCCAAAGGTTAAAAACAAAGACAGCCACAAAAAAAAAAAAAATGAAGAGAAATACCAAAAATTAGGTTTACGTCGCAGCTCCGCCTGCTGCCTGCTACCTGCTGAATATGGCCAGGTAATCTGGCCCAGGTTCAGCTGCCTTCGGGCTGTGGGCGAGTGGCGAGTGGGCGTGGGTGGGTGCTCTGGTTGATTATTAGCCCACGGTCGTGTTCTAATGCTTATAAATTCGGTTCACTTCAGTTCAGTTCAGGCTGTTTCCTTTTCCTTTTTTTGTTATCCCCATTTCTCTCTTTTGGGTGTGTTCAATATGCCCGACACGGACGAACGGCAAATCCTCCTTTAAGGCTGCTTTTACATTGACGATGTTCGTGTCTGACTGGGCAGCAGTTGTTTCTGTTTGGCTGTTCTTGTTGTTGTTGTTGTTGTTGCTGTTGTTGTAGCTATTGCCTTTTAAATGTTTATGCCAATATTTACATTTCAGAGGTTTGGCAGCGCCACAGAAATATATTTGATTTTAACACGAAAATAAATAAATGTGAAGCGCTGACTACGTACATCTGTGTGAGTAGGCGAACAGAC